ATCTCCCCGGGTGTCCCAAAAAAAAGTACTCCGGTTTGATTCGTAATAACTTCTAAACAAGTAAACCTTTTAAAGAGAAATAACCTGCATCAAATAGAGGAAGGATTAACTTAGATTTTGATATATTACAGTTGTATTTCACTTAAAAATCCACGGAGATATTAATGTTTAAAATCGGGAGCATATTTCTGGATGTGTCTGAAATATGCAAAAAACGGCGTATCAAATATTAATCAAGATTTGCCCGACTGAAACATGCACGATTACCAGTAAATAAATGACACTTGACAAATTGTTTATTATGAAACAAAGTCTGTATTATTATCTACAAAATACAAGCAATATTTATTCGTCCGAAATCTGTGTGTGTTCCTAGCACGAATACGTTTCCTTATTTCATGAGACCACTGCATCGCGAAGGATCGTCATGGATCGTTCGTAGTTCTGAATTAGGGCATGCTGTCACAATGGAATTGTGAAGCTCTTCTAACTTCTGCAATGTTCTGAAATCTTGTTAAGAACACTCAAACTCATTTGCCTTTTCTTAAATCTTTTTAAGTTCACAATAAACTGAGAATGAAACACAATCAAACCATACAACTCCATAAGACATAACAATTAAGCATGCAACTCCCTGGAGACATCCAACATTTTTGGAACAAAACGTAACAAAATAGTAGCGTTGATACTGTGATGTGTAATAGTGTATTTGCAAAAAGCAATATTATTTCCTTCATTGCAGAATAATATTCATCCTGCTCTAACCGAGAAATAATCAACTCTGTTTTGAACCCATGAAAAACATAAAAAATTAGGCTAAGAAAAATTTAACGCCTGCCTTGCATGGTCTTTCATGTACCTTATAAATTTGTAAAGTTTGTAAAGACCTATTAAATACTTGCATAATTTCGTACGTTCATATTTCAGGAAACAATGAGCTAAGACTTAGCTTACATGTAAGAAGTCTAAATCTACGCCATATCCCTTACAAACCCTAACGACAATTCGCTGAAATACAAGTTAACCTGATATGTCATCAAGCAAACAAACGCTGAAGTTAATATTTGATATGCCGATTTTCGCTAATTTTAGATACATCCCAAAATATGCTCCCAATTTTGAACATTAATATCTCTATATATAAATATATACAGATTGTACTATTACGCTCCTTCACTTCGGTATATATATATATATATATATATATATATATATATATATATATATATATATATATATATATATATATATATATATATATATATATATATATACGTAATATAACGTTCGTCAAACAGCAGTAATCATTGTAGGATATATATGACGAAAGTCACTTAGGTTGTTTACGGCAATTAACTGAGTGGCAAGTATTTACCCCCCCCCCCTTAATTTGAAACGACAAACACCGTTGAAATTCACGCAAAATAATCTTTGCAACGGAGGGTTTGAATGCCGTCTAAACATCACAGAAACCAAAACAGTTAAAGATTTTGTGAAGAAAACAAAGTCTGATACGGAATCTAAACACATTTTTTTCTTGATTACTGATATAACAGAACAAAACTGGCAAGTTAAATTTGCATTTCAAATCGCTGGTTCATATATACTAACGGTTTTGTAGGCGATTTTCTCTTCCGGACAGATGCGCATGAGTCAATTCGTAAGCAAAAGTATCTTCTGCTTGTCATTCATGCACCTGAATCTTCCAGAAGAAAAATCGGCGACAAAATTGCTAAGTGTGAACTAGGGTTAACAGCACGAATGCCTGCAATTTTTACATGTTGGTCGTTTCACGTGATATCTGTGCAAAGTACGCGTGTTTCCACAGCGAAAGTTGGGGATTTTGCCGAGCCAGTGTTAACAAATAAAATAGTCCGGTGTAAGAAGCTGTTTTAAAGTTGATAGAATGTTAAAAAAGTGTTGCCAAAATTTTTATACAGTAATGGCAATAAAAGTTTTTATTGCTTTATCTGAAAGAGCATGGAAAAATAAGCCGATTGGCCGTTTACTGCTCTATTCTGTCTCATGTGGTTCCGAAGTTATACGCAAAAATGTGCAAAATATAAATTGCTGATTCAGCACAACGTGTGACGTCATTGGTAGGGTAAGTATGTTTAATGAATACTAAACTGAAGCATAGCTCAGTTATTATGGGCCCAAATCAAATGAAATTTTGGATACTGATTGTACATGATGAGACGCATTGAAAAACACTTCTAATTTTGTTGCCAAGGTAACAATGTCGTTCCCAGGCCCCTTGCGCCAATTTTATAAAACAGCTTTATTCATGGTACTTATAAGAATAAAATAATGTCAGAAGTATGTGTAGCATACCTATACATGCCAAAAGTTTACTTGCATAATAATAATTCGAAAATGACATACACATAGATAAATGCAACTAGTTATTCAAAATCAGTGTAAGGGGCCTGGGAACGACTGCGTTGCCTTGACAACAAAATTAGAAGTATTTTCCCATGCGTCTCATCATGTACTATCTGTATGCAAAATGTCATTTGATTTGAGCCAATAATAACTGAGCTATGCTTCAGTTTACTATTCATTTAACATACTTACCCTACCAATGACGTCACACGTTGTGCTGAATCAGCAATTTATATTTTGCACATTTTTGCGTATAACTTCGGAACCAGATGAGATAGAATAGAGCAGTAAATGGCCAATCGGCTTATTTTTTCATGCTCTTTCAGATAAAGTAATAAAATTTTTTATTGCCATTACCCTTTAACAACTTGTTCTGAGGGCGCAGCTGTACAACATTGTTCAAGGACTCCAAGCCTGTCAATATCAACCAGGAACAGGTTGTTCGTATTTACACAGTGTAGAGCCTGCTCGCAGGCTACCACTGTCCTGCTGCATACAATGAGCAAGGCCAGAAACTATACTTTATTTAAAATTAAGCACAATATCATAAAACTTCACTTTAAAACCTAATATTTGTAATGTCAGCATGATTCTGTGGGTGGCACCAGGCAGCAGTGCCCAGCACTTGAAAATTTTCAAATATGCCATGCAAAAACACAAATATTATATTTGGTTATTTTCTGTAATTTTGTACTGTCTTTTTATCTTTCAATTGATGAATTCTGTTATTTAAGTGGCAATGTGCCCAGACTGAGATGCACCTACAGTACTTTGTTATTTTACTCTGTCTAATGCCAGACAATTTTACTCGTCAGGGGGAGAGTGCTGCCACTCAGTGTGTTAAACAGTAGCACAATATGAAATTCAATGCAGTAGCACATTAAACAGTAGTACAATATGAAATTCATGCACAGAATATTAGTTGTTTGTGATTTGGATAAATAAATTATCTAATTATAAAGCAAGATGTCTGATGAATGGCACAAAACACTTTGTAATGTTTTTATTGATGTCATGCTTCAAGCTACTTTATAGTACTATGGAGCACAAAATTTAAGAAATAGCAATAAGTATTTATTTTGAGACCAGATGGTCCAGACCATCAAAATTTCTAAAGCTGTCGGTGGGGGTTGGGCATGCCCATAGTGCTGTAGTCTGTAGATGCCCAGTACTCACATGGTCCGGGGAAGAAGAACCCTGTATCAGCAAACCTTCTCAGAGATGCCATGCTGAGAGTTACATGTCAAGTCAAATGTCAATATACACTAAGAATGTGAACTATTCATGGTTGCTGGTTGTGATAGCACACACCTTCTCATCTGATTGTTCATTCTTAGAGTCAGTTCCACTGTCATGTTCATCGAATGTATCTTCACTTATTTCTTGTTCAAGATCTCCTCCAATATTCTCAATCTCACTGTCAAATACACCTACTTCAACTTCTATCTCTTCCTGATCATCTCCTGAACAACATAGAGTAGGAACAAATATGTTATACACAAGGGGTCTATTATTAATGGAAACACCAGAGTGTGTGTTGAAAATCGTGGTGCTACCAAGTTCCATCTTGATAGCACTGGCCACACTGCCTCTCTTAATGATTTTAAGATTATTTCTTATTGCTCTTCTCCATACAAACTCCTCATTCGAGAAAGTATTCTCATGAGTTAACTTAAGACATCTTCAGAGCAATGACATAGTACAAAGTGGAAAACATAGAAATATGAATAAATTACAGCTATTAATTAACAGGATATTATATTACAAAAGTAGAAAGAGGAATGGATCAGAGTAGAAGTAGAGGGACCAAACTGCCTTGTAAGTTGAGAGAGGGTTTGAGTTTGTTAAAGATGAAATGTTAGCTTTCTAATAAATATTTTGAACTATAATTTTGTTATATTATGGCTCTTTTACGTATTTTCTACTGGGCATTAATATTTTTTTTAAACTTACTTTGTAGTATAAAGTACTGTAACTTATTTTGAAGGTTTTGTTTCTGAGATATTTCAGTTTGTGTGTTAGGCAATACTAATGATTTGAAAGTTTGTGTGACACTAATATATTATTCATTCTCAAGAGTAATAAATTATTGTTGAAAATCTAAGTTTCAATTTGTCTGAGGATGTCAGGATGATGCACCTATTAATTGTATTTCATGTCTCAAAGAGAAGGTGAAGAACGAAAATCATTTGAAAAAGTTACTTTACCATTGTGAAATTTCCTCAATTTTACATAAGAGGTTAACGTTTTTTCATGTTAGTGGCACTCTAAGCTTTTTGAAAAGCTTGACCAGCTTGAATAAAGTAATTTAACAGAAACTGGGCCACATGATTTGTGGTGTTTATTAATGTGTCAATAATATGCTGCTCATTTCCTTCTTTGTGCTTGTATTATTAATGAGTTTGAGAAATAACATTTTACACTTTTTTAAGAGTTGCAAACTACCAGCTGGAAATCTGTGCACAAAACTTTGAAGGTCTCCGGTGTGGATTTACAATACAGCTTGCTTGGAGGAATGGTGTGAGATTTTCTTTTCTAGCCATTCATGTTAGAATATCTTAAGTCCTCCCAACTGTTGTTTGCCTGGGCATAGCACAAGTTTGCTTTGAACAATTTAATATGGAGGCATATATCTCTACTAAAACTGTCTGTACCAGTGTAGGTAGTACCAATGTAAAAATGCTGTGCTGAGTGGTTATATTACTACCTTAAAAAATAAGCAGAAACTCGACGTTTCGAGCGAAGGCCCTTCATCAAGAGTTAGTAGCGTGGTTTCTCTTGACAAAGGGCCTTCGCTTGAAACGTCGAGTTTCTGCTTATTTTTTAAGGTAGTAATATAACCACTCAGCACAGCATATATCTCTACCATACCCTGCTTTAAGATATATTCTTCAAGACGAGCTATTAAGTCACTTTTGTTCCCTGATATGCTCAAGCCTCTTTCTTGCAATTCTTTTTTCAATTCCACCACCTGAAACAAATGCGAACAGACAAATTTTATTTTACAAAATTTTGCACCCCCAACACTTAGGCCTAAAAAAATACCTGTGGTTCCGGTTTCATATCGCGAAAAAATTAGGGTCGGTAGGTTTTTTTCCATAATTAGTGTGACAACAGATGCCATTTTGGCAGCAGCCCGCAACCACCTGGAGAAAATAGGGTCGTACGGTCAATTGTGTTGAAAAAATAAAAGGGTCGGTCGGGAAGGTATTTTTTTAGGCCTTAACTTTGTGCACGTAACGCTTTAATATATACCTAAGTTATCTTTCACAGGCCAAGTGCACACTTGACATTTGCTGAAGATAGAATTTGCACACAAGAATTTTTGTGTGCGCATGGAAGATCGTCCATGTGCACTGCAAAGTTTCCAGTCTGGGCCAGTTCCACAATGGCACAGCCCAGTATGGAATGTCAACGCTCTGTAACAGCAACATATTTACTAGTATTTGGTGCACATATCTGGCACACAAAAAAGTCTCATTCCATACAGGGGCACAGCCATTAACATTGGAATGTAGCCCATTTTTGTGGTTTATTGGATATTTTGACCATTTTGTAGATGTGAGAGTCTGTTACATTTTCATAATCCTGTTTTATAATAGAGTTTGATATGTTGTTTGCTCTGGCCTAAACACAAGTTTGCTTTCCAAATTCAAATTGGAACGTGTTCATGAATCATATAAATGGCCTGTTGCCTGTTGGAGTGTTGGGTAGGAAATAATATGATATAATTCAGATTTTTAAATAATCAATAACTTCACACTTCTACTATGCAGTTAAGTAAACAGAAATTATAATTTCGTTCATATTCTGTGATAAAGATGTAAATATCTCGACGCAAAACAGTGAAACATACCTTTAAATCTTTAAGATCTTTGCCCTTCGCGTGTAAATCATCCGCCATCTTGAACCAACAATACAATGTGGCAATGTGGCATCGTAGGACATAGAGGGTCGTTTTAGGGTTATCAATCAAATCAAACATCCAAAGGCCACATGCAACAAGACAAAAGTTTTTTTGTAAAATAAACATTGAACAAAGGTATCTTGTAAAACTTGTCTTGTTTTAACTATATTGAGTTTTAAATATGTTTTCTTCGTGTTTGAAACCAAGTAGTAAATAATATTCTTGATTGACTCCCGAATCGTGTCCAAGAATATTCCAAATAGTCCCGCTTACCACTTTAATATCCCAAATATCCCTATCATAAACAAAATTACAAAAAGTTTAAAAAAAAAACATGTATAAAAATATATTTCAAGATTTCAGTGTGTCATGAAATAAAAACCCGGCAAGACAATGAGACGTGGTCCTGGAGGTATTGGTGCTATTAACAAACAAAGATTAGCAAAGGTAGTGTAGAAACAGACGATAAAAACCTAACAATTAATCACATTTCAATATTTCAACATCAAATATTTTAATAATAATACTAATGGTAGATAATCGATTAAATCGATGTTCGATCAGGGCCTCTTTTAACGTATAGACTAGGGGGAACATGTCCCCCCCCCCCCAGACCTCTTACTGGCCCCTCCAGTCGGCAATTTTGTCCCCCCTCCCCAGTGAGGTCCCTAAGAAGTACCTGTAGTAGGTGGTCAACCAGCAATTATAATATGTCAAAGTGAGAAAATTATGTTAAGTTGTTAACATTTCTGAATTTGACCATCATCTGCAGACCCGTAACTAGCTATGAGTCAAACGAGTCAACTGACTCGGTAGGCCAGAATTTGGGGACTGAAATTTAAACATCGCCAGAAACCTAAACCATGACTGAAATAATTTACTTGTGGAACAAGGCATGAAATGGCATTTTAGGATGAAATTCTAGTTTAGTTTTTTCAAGCAAAGATACTCCAAAGAGACCACAATGCGTCGATATCAAGTACCCCAGTACATGTGATAAAGTACTGTACTGTAGAATTTGAAGTGTGGTGAATGATAATACTATACCATACACAGTTTCATTACTGCATCATCACATCATGTTGCCTTATTGGGACTGGATTACATTTGGGAGACTGTAAAATTGCAGTAATTGTGTCACTGTTTATAAGGTTAATTTCTTGCTGGAACACTCCTCAAAATGCTAGAAATATAGCTTAATATCTGAGCTTCAGGAAATCCAAAATTTTCTGAGGGGGGAAGCCCCCAGACCCCTCTTGATGGCTCGCACCTTCAGTGCTCGACTCGGTTGTCTCAGAATCCTAGTTACGGGCCTGATCTGCTGCCCTGTCTAGTATACTTATTCATACCTACCAAGTCTCACGCATTACGTGTGTGACACACGCCTCAGCATATTTTCTCATGCTCACACGCGCAGTATTATTTATCTCACGCACGAGCTGCTTTGGCTGCTTGTGATTGAAGAATTTAATAAAAAAAACACGTAAATCTGGAGAGCAATGTTAACTCTGGAAACCTGTGCAATGTTTTAGCATTTAGTTTTTCTATTTTACACTATGAAATTAGTCAGTAAATTCATCTGGTGAATACAGTAGAGTGGGTAGGTGTTTATTATCACTGTGAATTTGCTGTCAACACCTCATTTGATGCCATAAGGCATAAATTGAACCTATTTCCGGTGCGTAAATGCTATCTGATTACAGTATCCAAGGTGCAGCAATGGTGAATAAATCGTGTCTTGGGAATGAAACACTGGAAATTCCATATTTTCCAGGGGGGGGGAGGGGGGGATTAGATTGCGTCCGTAGATGGCGTCTCACACATGCAGATCACTCCACCTTGGCAGCTATGCTTATTAGTTATACCATACATATAATTATGCTGGTAGCTGCAGTGATACAGACTTGTCGACTGGAACTTCTCCAGGTCCCCTGCTAAATATGTCATCTCCAGTTACACATCCTTACAAGGCTGTAGCAGCCCCCCCCCCCAATAATTTGCTAATAATCATTCTTTTTTCAAAATCATGCAGACCTTTATCATTTAATCCATGACAAACTGCAAAGAATGAAGATATTACCCATACTTATCATTTAATCCATGATAAACTGCAAAGAATGAAGATATTAATTTACCTAATATATGCCTTCGCCCATTTAGTACTACTAAATTGTAAATTTCAACATACTAAAAGAGCTTCCTACGGCCCTGCCTTAAAAGAGGCCAAGCAATGCATGAAGCTAGAAAACTCAACGTTAACTATATAATTAAAGAATCTAAATAGTATAAGCTATATTGAAAAAAAAATGCTGCGAAAGAGAGAGTGGCAAAAAAAAATCGTACATGGTGTTGGGACAGAAAAAAAAAGTTGCACATAACGATCCCAGAAAAAAATTCCCTGCCAGCAGTAAATCACACCCCCCCCTCAAAAGTTAAATGGTCGGCCCCTTAGTAAATATTTTAAAATTGGGGGGTCACAGAAGCATAGTTACGGCACTTTTGGGCTGTTTAGACTTTAGATCATAGTCTTTCTGAAAACTCAGTAAACTTCAAAGCGGTTATAATGAGCTGGGAGTTTATGTTGAGCCGTACCTTACACCGTGCACATCCTTTGTTTTAGGTTTAGTAATATTTAAATAGCATGATTGAATGACTGAACTGAAACGTTGCTATTGGATGATTCGTTCATTATACTGAAATACAATGTGTGATTGGCGTGCAAAAACTGCATAAACGCGAACAAAAAGAACAAAGACTTTAGCAGGAGTTTCCAAACCATGTTTTGAAAGACTATGTTTAGATCAATGGTTGAGGCTATCTAACAAGTACATAAATCATGCAGTCTAAATTATTCATAATTAAATTTTCAATTGTCTAATGAAAATACTTAAAAGCGAGTCCTGATTTTTGTAGCATGATTTCTGCAGATATTGCCATTATCATGAAACCGCGCCTATAGGAAAATAATGGACAACTTGCATGTTAGACTAAATTTGAATCTAAGTAAAGAGAAGGGAAACATTAACACCACAGCTAAAAAGAACATAATGAAATTAGTAAAATTGCAAAATTTGGTTGCAAAATGTTGTAAAGCTTGAAAAATATAGTCTTACAAAGTTTGCAAATTTTGTATATGTTTGTATTACCATTTTCAGCTCAAAAATGCATGGTAACAATTTCCGCACGTAATATATAAACATATACAAAATATCCAAACTTCACAAGGCTATATTTTCCGTATTTTACAACATTTCGTAACCAAATTTTGCAATTTTACTAATTTTAAGTTCTTTACCTGAATTTACTTTTTTTTGTCTAGATCAAAAATTAGTCTAACATGCAACTTGTCTGTTGAAGCCGGTGCCCGGTGGTAATTTTACAGAATTACAGGCGTTTCTTGACATGTTATAACTACAGAAAAACCAGAAATATATAAACCAGAAATATATACCTGGCTATCATCATGCAGGAAATAAACACATAATTACTTTAAACAATATTGCTGCATGTGGGAAATGACTGGAAATGGATTTTCCGGGCTTTATTCCCAAGACCAAGTACACTTTTCAATTTACAAGGATATATTTTCGTTTTACAAGGACACAAAGTGTGTCAAAAACACGCTATTTTAATGCCTGGATGTGTTTGTGTTTAGGCCAAGTATGAACAGAAAGGAAGTGCTATTGCTGATGCACAGATATCTCAGGTTGGCTTTATTTTTACAAATAAAGTATAATGATAAATTCTCTTTCGAGTTGCATGGAAAATTCAAATAACTTAACTGTGATGTAACTGTTGATGTTATTGTGTTTAAACTTTAGATGTCCAAACAGCTGGAATCATTTAAAACTTATCTTGAAGAATTTGCTACCAAACACAAATCAGATATCAAGAAAAATGCTGAATTTCGAGGTCATTTTCAGCAAATGTGTGCAAGAATTGGAGTTGACCCTTTAGCATGTACGTACCTTAGTGTAATGTGTATTACACAATATACAGTTACTGGATGAGGTTTTTGTGATATACAGGGTGTATCAAAAAAAGCGCAATCCTCGACTGAAATGTAAATTGCTAAACAAATAATAGACGAAAACGTTAAAGTTTACATTCATTTTACAGCGTAGTCATTACAGCGTAGTCATTACAGTGGGTTGTTTCTTAAATTTGACTCAATGGTTCGCGGATAATAATACTTTACGTTATTGCGATTGGAGATTAAAAAAATTGAGATGGAATAACAAATCGTTCTCATGAAAATAACTGATTTTTTCATTAAAACAAACAAATGTTGCATTTTATTAAATGAATTGTAACAA